GTTGGACCAACTAGCCTGTTGGTCCACTGTACCGGTTAGACCAGCTGGCCTTTTGGTCCAATGGACCGGTTGGACCAACTAGCCTGTTGGTCCAATGGACCGGTTGGACCAACTGGCCTGTTGGTCCAATGAACCGGTTGGACCAACTGGCCTGTTGGTCCAATGGACCGGTTGGATCAACTGGCCTGTTGGTCTGACCGGTCCATTGGACCAACTGGCCAGTTGGTCCTGGACCGGTTGGACCAGTAGGACTGTTGGTCCACTGAACCGGTTGGACCAACTGGCCTGTTGGACCAATGGACCGGTTGGCCCAACAAGCCTATTGGTCCACTGGACCGGTTGGACCAACTGGCCTATTGGTCCAATGGACCGGTTGGACCAACTGGCCTGTTGATCCAATGGACCGGTTGGACCAATTGGCCTGTTGGTCCAATGGACCGGTTGGACCTACTGGCCAGTTGGTCCTGGATAAGTTGGACCAGTAGGACTGTTGGTCCACTGGACCGGTTGGACCAACTAGCCTGTTGGTCCAATGGACCGGTTGGACCAGCTGGCCTGTTGGTCCAATGGACCGGATTGACCAACTGGCCTGTTGGTCCAATGAACCGGTTGGACCAACTAGCCTGTTCGTCCACTGGACTTACTGGCCTGTTGGTCCAATGGACTGGTTGGACCAATTTGCAAGTTGGTCCTGGTTCGGTTGGACCAGTAGGACTGTTGGTCCACTGAACCGGTTGGACCAACTGGCCTGTTGGACCAATGGACCGGTTGGACCAACTAGCCTATTGGTCCAATGGACCGGCTGGACCAACTGGCCTGTTGGTCCAACGGACAGGTTGGACCAATTGGCCTTTTGATACAATGGACCGGTTGGACCAGCTGGCCTGTTGATCCAATGGACCGGTTGGACCAGCTGGCCTGTTGATCCAATGGACCGGTTGGACCAGCTGGCCTGTTGGTCCAATGGACCGGTTTGACCAACTAGCCTGTTGGTCCAATGGACCGGTTGGACCAGCTGGCCAGTTGGTTCAATGGACCGGATTGACCAATTGGCCTGTTGGTCCAATGGACCGGATTGACCAACTGGCCTGTTGGTCCAATGGAACGGTTGGACCAACTGGCCAGTTGGTCCAATGGACCGGTTCGACCAACTAGCCTGTTGGTCCAATGGACCGGTTGGACCAACTGGCCAGTTGGTCCTGGACCGGTTGGACCAGTAGGACTGTTGGTCCACTGAACCGGTTAGACCAACTGGCCTGTTGGTCCAATGGACCGGTTGGACCAACTAGCCTGTTGGTCCACTGGACCGGTTGGACCAGCTGGCCTGTTGGTCCAATGGACCGGATTGACCAACTGGCCTGTTGGTCCAATGGACTGGTTGGACCAACTAGCCTGTTCGTTTACTGGACCGGTTGGACCAACTGTCCTGTTGGTCCAATGGACCGGTTGGACCAACTAGCCTATTGGTCCACTGGACCGGTTGGACTTACTGGCCTGTTGGTCCAAGACTGGTTGGACCAACTTGCCTGTTGGTCCTGGAATGGTTGGACCAGTAGGACTGTTGGTCCACTGAACCAGCTGGACCAACTGGCCTGTTGGACAAATGGACCGGTTGGACCAACTAGCCTATTGGTCCACTGGACCGGTTGGACCAGCTGGCCTGTTGGTCCAATGGACCGGTTGGACCAACTAGCCTGTTGATCCAATGGACCAGTTGGACCAGCTGGCCTGTTGGTCCAATGGACCAGTTGGACCAACTGGCCTATTGATTCAATGGACCGGTTGGACCAGCTGGCCTGTTGATCCAATGGACCGGTTCGACCAACTAGCCTGTTGGTCCAATGGACCGGTTGGACCAACTGGCCAGTTGGTCCTGGACCGGTTGGACCAGTAGGCATGTTGGTCCAATGAACCGGTTGGACCAACTGGCCTGTTGGTCCAATGGACCAGTTGGACCAACTAGCCTGTTGGTCCACTGGACCGGTTGGACCAGCTGGCCTGTTGGTCCAATGGACCGGTTGGACCAACTAGCCTGTTGGTCCAATGGACCGGTTGGACCAACTGGCCTGTTGGTCCAATGGACCGGTTGGACCAACTGCCCTGTTGGTCCAATGGACCGGTAGGACCAACTGGCCAGTTGGTCCAATGGACCGGTTGGACCAGCTGGCCTGTTGGTCCAATGGACCGGTTGGACCAACAGGCCTGTTGGTCCAATGGACCGGTTGGACCAACTGGCCTGTTGGTCCAATGGACCGGTTGGACCAAATGGCCTGTTGGTCCAATGCACCGGTTGGTCCAATTGGCCTGTTGGTGCAATGGACCGGTTGGACCAACTGGCCTGTTGGTCCACTGGACCGGTTGGACCAACTGTCCTGTTGGTCCAATGGACCGGTTGGACCAACTAGCCTATTGGTCCACTGGACCGGTTGGACCAGCTGGCCTGTTGATCCAATGGACCGGATGGACCAACTGGCCTGTTGGTCTAATGGACCGGTTGGACCAACTGGCCAGTTGGTCCTGGACCGGTTGGACCAGTAGGACTGTTGGTCCAATGAACTGGTTGGACCAACTGGCCTGTTGGTCCAATGGACCGGTTGGACCAACTAGCCTGTTGGTCCAGTGGACCGGTTCGACCAGCTGTCCTGTTGGTCCAATGGACAGGTTGGACCAACTAGCCTGTTGGTCCAATGGACCAGTTGGACCAACTGGCCAGTTGGTCCAATGGACCGGTTGGACCAACTGGCCTATTGGTCCGATGAGCCGGTTGGACCAACTAGCCTGTTGGTCCAATGGACCAGTTGGACCAACTGGCCTGTTGGTCCAATGGAACGGTTGGACCAGAAGGACTGTTGGTCCACTAAACCGGTTGGACCAACTGGCCTGTTGGTCCAATGGACCGGTTGGACCAACTAGCCTGTTGGTCCACTGGACCGGTTGGACCAGCTGGCCTGTTGGTCCAATGGACCGGATTGACCAACTGGCCTGTTGGTCCAATGGAACGGTTGGACCAACTGGCCTGTTGGTCCAAAGGACCGGTTGGACCAACTGGCCTGTTGGTCGAATGGACCGGTTGGACCAACTGGCCTGTTGGTCCACTGGACCGGTTGGACCAATTGGCCTGTTGGTCCAATGGACCGGTTGGACCAACTAGCCTGTTGGTCCACTGGACTGGTTGGACCAACTGTCCTGTTGGTCCAATGGACCGGTTGGACCAACTAGCCTATTGGTCCACTGGACCGGTTGGACTTACTGGCCTGTTGGTCCAATGGAGTGGTTGGACCTACTGGCCAGTTGGTCCTGGACCGGTTGGACCAGTAGGACTGTTGGTCCACTGAACCGGCTGGACCAACTGGCCTGTTGGTCCAATGGACCTGTTGGACCAACTAGCCTGTTGGTCCACTGGACCAGTTGGACCAGCTGGCCTGTTGGTCCAATGGACCGGTTGGACCAACTGGCCTGTTGGTCCACTGGACCAGTTGGACCAGCTGGCCTGTTGGTCCAATGGACCGGTTCGACCAGCTGTCCTGTTGGTCCAATGGACAGGTTGGACCAACTAGCCTGTTGGTCCAATGGACCAGTTGGACCAACTGGCCAGTTGGTCCAATGGACCGGTTGGACCAACTGGCCTATTGGTCCGATGAGCCGGTTGGACCAACTAGCCTGTTGGTCCAATGGACCAGTTGGACCAACTGGCCTGTTGGTCCAATGGAACGGTTGGACCAGAAGGACTGTTGGTCCACTAAACCGGTTGGACCAACTGGCCTGTTGGTCCAATGGACCGGTTGGACCAACTAGCCTGTTGGTCCACTGGACCGGTTGGACCAGCTGGCCTGTTGGTCCAATGGACCGGATTGACCAACTGGCCTGTTGGTCCAATGGAACGGTTGGACCAACTGGCCTGTTGGTCCAAAGGACCGGTTGGACCAACTGGCCTGTTGGTCGAATGGACCGGTTGGACCAACTGGCCTGTTGGTCCACTGGACCGGTTGGACCAATTGGCCTGTTGGTCCAATGGACCGGTTGGACCAACTAGCCTGTTGGTCCACTGGACTGGTTGGACCAACTGTCCTGTTGGTCCAATGGACCGGTTGGACCAACTAGCCTATTGGTCCACTGGACCGGTTGGACTTACTGGCCTGTTGGTCCAATGGAGTGGTTGGACCTACTGGCCAGTTGGTCCTGGACCGGTTGGACCAGTAGGACTGTTGGTCCACTGAACCGGCTGGACCAACTGGCCTGTTGGTCCAATGGACCTGTTGGACCAACTAGCCTGTTGGTCCACTGGACCAGTTGGACCAGCTGGCCTGTTGGTCCAATGGACCGGTTGGACCAACTGGCCTGTTGGTCCAATGGACCGGTTGGACCAGCTGGCCTGTTGATCCAATGGACCGGTTGGACCAGCTGGCCTGTTGATCCAATGGACCGGTTGGACCAGCTGGCCTGTTGATCCAATGGACCGGTTCGACCAACTAGCCTGTTGGTCCAATGGACCGGTTGGACCAACTAGCCAGTGTTAGTGTTAGTCTTCAATCTCACAATTTGTACTTTGTATTTTCTATATCCTAGAGTAGTGTAGTTTGCACATTGTGTTTGGTTGGGTGTACACCTACATCCCAACCAAACCCAAATGTAATCTCCAACCAATCTCCAACCCACCAATTGGAGATTGCCTTGGGATTACCCCCAATCCCTAGAGATTGCCCCCGATTCCCTTCCCCATCCTTTTCCTACCCCTCTTGGATGTACTTAAAGAGCTTCAAGCTCATTACTAATGCATCGCTTCTAAGCCTATTTCTGACATGGTATCAGAGCCCTTCAACCGCATACGCGGATCGTGATCTTCTTACCTCTGCGGATACTCGTCCCGCAAACCTCGGCGAAGCCATCGTCAACCTCGTCGCCGGTGATTCGCGACATTCGTCGGCGGAAATTTTCCCGCTGCACCTTCCCGTCACTTTCGACGGTAATTTATCTGGTAAACGCTTCGTCCGCGCTATAACCTAACGCTCGCTTTCCTCCTCGTCGGGCCGCCGCCCGTCGCCCTGCAGCTTCTCGTCGGGCTGCCGCCCGTCGCCCTGCAGCTTCTCGTCGGGCCGCCGCCCGTCGCCCCGCAGCTTCTCGTCGGGCCGCCGCCCGTCGCCTCGCAGCTTCACGTCGGGCCGCCGCCCGTCGCCCCGCAGCTTCTCGTCGGGCCGCCGCCCGTCGCCCCGCAGCTTCTCGTCGGGCCGCCGCCCGTCGCCTCGCAGCTTCTCGTCGGGCCGCCGCCCGTCGCCCTGCAGCTTCTCGTCGGGCCGCCGCCCGTCGCCCCGCAGCTTCACGTCGGGCCGCCGCCCGTCGCCCCGCATCTGCACTCCTACCCCTTCCCCCTTCCCGCAGCTGAACAGGTGCAGCAGCGCAGCCGAGCAGCCGTGTAGCCGCGAAGCAGAGCAGCCGTGTAGCCGCGAAGCCGAGGGTGGTGTGTGGGGGGATGTGTGGGATTAGTGATAGATCTACGGAAATCGGCCGATTCGACCTAATTTTGGCGGCCTGAAAAGAAAAAAAAAAAAACCTTCTACGTGACATTCCGACGCGGCCGACATTGACGATTTTCGCTATTCCGGTCCGTCGGATTTCGAAGTTCCTATCGGTGACTTAAGAGCGGCGCTCCGCGCGAGAAGGGGTCTCCACCATGGCTCTCTCGTCTTCCACCATGGCGAACCCCATCACCCCGCTCCGCCTTGAAGCTGATGGCTCTAGCTCCAACTTCAAGGCGTGGAGCTACGGAGTTGACAAGCACCTCCTGAGCCGTGACGTGCAGGGCCTTGACCTCAAGGACGTCCTCCTCAACCGTGGCAAGGGGAAACAGCCTACTATTCCCCGTGAGCCGACCGAATCTCCAAGTGATACTGACGTGAGGGCGTACGAGGAGGCTGTTGAGAAGTACCGGAAATGGGAGAAGGCCGATGCTGCCATCATCAGCGTCTTCATCGCCTCCACCCCTCCCGAACTTGTCAACACGTTCCATAACTACCCTACCTCCAACGCCATCTGGAAGTACCTCCAGGATCGGTTCATGAACAAGACGGCGGTCGGCGTGGCCATTCTCATCCCTAGCATGTTTCAGGTCCGCCTTGAGGACTGCTCGGGAATGGCCGATTACATTGCCAAGGTGCAGACCATTCATGGCGAACTCAAGGAGCTGGGTATAGTCTTCCCCGAGCAAGCCCCTGCAGCCGCCCTACTTGTTGGACTCACCTCGGCATATGAGGTCACGAGGAAGATGCTCCTCACACTCTCAGCAGAGGACCTCACCTTTGCTAAGGTCTCCACCGCACTCCTCTCTGCCGAGAAAGACTCCACGGCTCAGGCCAAGGCGTACGCTATCCGCGCTCCCATGCCTCAAGCAAGTGTCGCAGCGGCTCTCGCCTCGGCGCCCTTCCAGCGCAACCGCTTTCCTCCGTGCCCCTACGTCGTCAAGTATGGGAATCGCAAGGGACAAGTGTGTGGTGGCACTAACCACCCCCTCGCCACGTGCTTCAAGAAGAAAGACGACGAATGGTACGCCATTCACGGAGTGGACAAGAAGCCGCCGAATTGGATGCGCTCTCGCAAGGCCAACCTAGTTGAGGTCCAGGACCCCGCTTCGACTAGTGCTAGTGATGCTGCTCCTGCTGATGTGCGTATCAACCTGTTGTTCCCTGGCACTGCCATGATTAATGAAGCTACCTCACAGTACATCGGCTCATCACACGCACCACAATACATAGAGTTCACACTCGATAGCGGGGCCACTCACACCGTGCTCAAGGAGACCCTCTCCTTCAAACCTTACCCAACACCTATCCCTCTCTTAGGAGCTGACTCAAGCTTCACCACCCTCGCCAAGGGTACCTCCACAGTCCCATGCCCCGCCTTCCCATCCGGCACTGTCACTGGCATGTGCGTGCCTTCACTGCGTCACAATCTAGTTGCCCAAACAGAAATTCAGGAGGCAGGGCTACGCACCATCTTCCCAGAGAACGAGGACTATTGCGACATCATCGATCCACGCACCAACAAAACTCTGGCCCGCTACACCCTCAACAGCAACGGCCTCTACACGCTACGCGTCCCTCTCCCACAGGTGTCAACCACCCAAGCACAGGCCACTATCACACCATGCTCATGTCGCACCCTCTCCAACCCGACCATCCTCTACCACCATCGGCTCGGGCACCCAAATTTCCGCACTCTTGCTGACATGGCCTCCAAGAAACTTCTCCTCGGCCTGCCAGCCGCACTTCCTCCACCACCTGACTCACCAGCTCCCACGTGCCTTGATTGCACCAAGAGCAAACTGCGCCAACAGCCCCATGCTGCCTCACCCACAATCGCTGCAGCACCACTGGACCTCGTGCACATGGACGTCTGCAGCCTGCTACTCTTCCACTCGCGATGGTTCTTCGATACACCGCGATCACACCGCCTCCTCCTGCTGGGGGGGATGTGCCCTCTACCCTTCTAGAAGACAGGCATGAGGAACTGTGTGATCTCCATGCAGTCCTTCCTCAGCTCTCACACATCTTCCCCGACATCACTGGCTCACCCTCCCTCAACTTCGCGGAGAACCCGACCATCCCTATCCCTCTCACCGTCCAAGAGGCTCTCTCAGGCCCTCATGCTGCCGAATGGCGTGCTGCCATGGACGCGGAGATTGCAGCATTCACCCGCAACCACTCCTTCGACGACGAGACTCCACCTCCAGGAGTCAACATCGTCGGGGGCAAGTGGTTGTTCCGTGTAAAACAGCTCCCAGACGAGGCACCGGTGTTTAAAGCGCGCTACGTAGCCAAGGGCTTCACCCAGCAGCAGTACCGCGACTTCTTCCTAACCTTCTCCCCCACATCCAAACCTCCCACCATTCGTACGCTCATGGATGTCGCAGCTCGAGAAGACTTCGAGATCAAATCCATGGATGCCTCATCCGCCTTCCTACAAGGACGTCTCAAGGAGACAGTGTTCATGGACAGACCAGAAGGCTTCCCAGGAGATTTCCCTCCCAACACTGTCTGGAAGCTGAATCGCCCCGTCTACGGCCTTAAGCAAGCCCCTCGCGAATGGCACAACAAGGTGAAAGAAGTCCTCCTCTCCCTGGACTTCCACCCTTCAACTGCTGACCCGACTCTCTTCATCCGCCGTCATTCTGAGCCCTTCTACATCCTAGTCTACGTGGATGATTTCATCCTCGTGGCCAAGGACTCGGCCCAGATGACCTCAGTCCAGGCAGCCCTAAGCAAGGCTCTCCAGATGAAAGACCTCGGTGACCTCAAGCACTACCTGGGGATGGAGATCACTCGTGATCGCAAGGCTCGCACCATCTCACTCTCCCAGGAGTTCTACATCGACAATGTGCTCAAGCGATTTGAGATGGAGCTATGCACACCTGTTGCCACCCCGCTGCCGCTGCAACACCTCCTCACAGCTCCAGCGGTACCCACACCAGAGGCCTGCTCTGAGCCATACCCGGAGCTTGTTGGGTCCCTCATGTACGCCATGATGTGCACCCGGCCAGACCTGGCCTATCCTGTCAGTGTCCTCTCTCGCTACGTGGCCCCTGGACGCTTCACTGATCTTCACTGGAAGGCAGCCAAGCGGGTGCTGCGCTATCTTCAGGGCACCAAGTCTCACGTCCTCACACTCGGTGGGCTCTCCCCTCCTCGCCTAGAGGGTTACACCGACTCCTCCTGGGCTGATGACCAGACCGACCGACGCTCCTCTCAGGGGTACTGCTTCACCCTTGGGAGCGGAATTGTCAGTTGGCGCTCCACCAGGTCGTCTGCAGTCTCCCTCTCCTCATGTGAGGCAGAGCTCTACGCAGGCACCATGGCTGCTCAGGAGGCTCGTTGGCTCACCTTCCTCCTCCAGGAACTTGGTTTCCCACAGTCCGCCCCTACCCTCTGGTGTGACAACCAGAGTACCATCCACATCTCTCAAGACCCTGTGTATCACACCCGCACCAAGCACATTGAACTCCGGCACTTCTTCATCCGTGACCTTGTCCAACAAGAGCAGTTGAAAGTGGAATACGTTGCATCTGACTGCAACCTGGCTGATCTGTTCACCAAGCCCCTTGGGAAAGTTCCCCACCACCGTCTCCTTGGCGCCATGGGGCTCTGTGCTCCACCCTCTCTACCCTGAGTTCGATTGACGCCTATGGGGGGGTGTTAGTGTTAGTCTTCAATCTCACAATTTGTACTTTGTATTTTCTATATCCTAGAGTAGTGTAGTTTGCACATTGTGTTTGGTTGGGTGTACACCTACATCCCAACCAAACCCAAATGTAATCTCCAACCAATCTCCAACCCACCAATTGGAGATTGCCTTGGGATTACCCCCAATCCCTAGAGATTGCCCCCGATTCCCTTCCCCATCCTTTTCCTACCCCTCTTGGATGTACTTAAAGAGCTTCAAGCTCATTACTAATGCATCGCTTCTAAACCTATTTCTGACAGCCAGTTGGTCCTAGACCGGTTGGACCAATAGGACTGTTGGTCCAATTAACTGGTTGGACCAACTGGCCTGTTGGTCCAATGGACCAGTAGGACAAACTAGCCTGTTGGTCCACTGGACCGGTTGGACCAGCTGGCCTGTTGGTCCAATGGACCGGATTCATGGTCCAACTGGCCTGTTGGTCCAATGGACCGGTTGGACCAACTAGCCTATTGATCCACTAGACAAGTTCGACCAACTAGCCTGTTGGTCCAATGGACCGGTTGGACCAACTGGCCAGTTGGTCCTGGACCGGTTGGACCAGTAGGACTGTTGGTCCACTAGACCGGTTGGACCAACTGGCCTTTTGGTCCAATGGACCGGTTGGACCAACTGGCCTGTTGGTCTACTGGACCGGTTGGACCAACTGGCCTGTTGGTCCGATGGACCGGTTGGACCAACTGGCCTGTTGGTCTACTGGACCGGTTGGACCAACTGGCCTGTTGGTCCGATGGACCGGTTGGACCAACTGGCCTGTTGGTCTACTGGACCGGTTGGACCAACTGGCCTGTTGGTCCGATGGACCGGTTGGACCAACTGGCCTGTTGGTCTACTGGACCGGTTGGACCAACTGGCCTGTTGGTCCGATGGACCGGTTGGACCAACTGGCCTGTTGGTCCGATGGACCGGTTGGACCAACTGGCCTGTTGGTCCGATGGACCGGTTGGACCAACTGGCCTGTTGGTCCGATGGACCGGTTGGACCAACTGGCCTGTTGGTCCGATGGACCGGTTGGACCAACTGGCCTGTTGGTCCGATGGACCGGTTGGACCAACTGGCCTGTTGGTCCGATGGACCGGTTGGACCAACTGGCCTGTTGGTCCGATGGACCGGTTGG